CTACTTCCATAGTGATACTGCCTCGGAAACCCAAGGAGGGGTTGCTATGAGTCAGGTCCGACTCAACGGCACATAACAACAACAACAACAATTCATAGGAAAAAAGAGTCCCTGGGTGGTGTAAATGGGCTAACTGAAAGTGTGATGTTCCAAACCCATCCAGAATTGCCTTAGAAGCAAGCCCTGCAGTCTGTGTCCGAAAGGTCACAGCCTTGAAAACCCTATGAAGCAGTTCTACTCTACACAGTTGGGGCCACCATGAGTCAGAATCAATTCAATGATAATTCACAACAGCAACAATTCAGAGAACAAGGGCAGTGGTGGTTCAGTGGCAGAATTCTTGTCTTCCTTGAAGAGACCTGGGTTTGATTGTCAGCCAGTGCACTTCCTACACAGACACCACTATCTGTCAGTGGAGGCTGGTGTATTGCTATGATGCTCAACAGGTTCCAGCAGAGCTTTGAGACCAAGATGTAAGAAAGCTTTGACAATCCGCTTCTGAAAATCAGCCAACGAAAACCCTATGAATCACAACAGTCCAATCTGCAGTACATCATATGGATGGCAGAGGACTAGGCAATGTTTTGTTCCATTGTGCCTGGGGTCTCCATGAGTTGGGGACTGACTTGAAAGCAACTAAAAACAACAATGCAGAGAAACCAACCGGAATGTATCTCCAACTCTGTCATGGAAGTAGATGAAATTTTCATGGTCAATCATTAGGAGATCTCCACTGTTGAAATAGAGGTCTCCTTTCTTAAAGACATCTCTCAGTTTTTTCTTCTCTGTCTGAGTCTTTCTTCCAGCATAGCCACTAAATGGTGTAAGTTGTGTAATTCTGCAAATTAGGAGTCCGACTTCACCTAAGACAGGAGAAAATAAATTTCTATTTTATGTGCTGGAAGGAAGCACATATTATTGTCAATCTTCTCTTAAAATGGATGCAATACAATCTACTGGCAATAAGCTGGCTGCATGAAGTGCCATTTTGTGTGCGAATACGTGTATGCATTGAATATACATATGTATTAAGCACACAGATGGTACATCATTCTTATATGACCACACATTTGTAATCCTTACAATACTCATCTTTTGCTGAATAACTGCCTATATGTGTCATTAGACAAAAGCACAGCCCTCTGAGCTTAAAAGTAAAGATCATCTAAATGTAACTATAGTTTTTGGGACCATAAATACAAAGCCCTTTCTACAAAATGTTTACCTCAAAAGCAAGAAGTTGTTTATATAGATTTAAAATTCTAATTATGTTATATGTAGTGGTAAGGTGCTCTGGAGCTAACTGTAGAACAGGCTATCAACTGCTTATATGGAAATTCAAATTGAAGCTGAAAAAAATTAAAGTAAGTCCTAAGGCATTTGACTGCTAACCAGATGGCTGGCGTTCAAACCCACCAGCCACTCCTCGGAAGAAAGGTTGCGCAATCTATTTCCATAGTAATACTGCCTCAGAAATCCAAGGAGGGGTCACTATGAGTCAGGTTTAACTCAACAGTAGTGAGTTAGTTAGTTATATGTAGTGGTAATTGACACCATTTGGCATTTCTGCAACTATTTATTAAATAATTCTTTTTTTCTACGGTGATAAATTTACCATGTGTTCATATCAATAATATGTTAGTTCTTAAAAGCTATTTGACCACAGTGAGAAAAGGCACAGGTTAATTTAACAAATGTCTACTGTACCTCTGGGAACTTTGATGCAATATCCATTTCCATCTCTGACAGGTTCATCTTTCTCCACATCATATTTAATCAGATAATAATTTATGACTTTCTGGGAAAATTAAAATATGTAATTTTGAGTACAAATTCTGTCACAATTTTTTCTTTTTTGTTGTGGTATAACATATATACAATAAAGTACCAATCTTAAGTAAGTGTATAGCCTGATGAATTTTTACATACATGTACAAATGTAACTACCACCCAGATCCAGCTATAAAACATTTAATCATCCTAAAGAGTATTGCCACCACTTGCTGCCTGTTAGATTGTCATCATTTAATCATCCTAAAGAGTATCGCCACCACTCGCTGCTTGTTAGTTTGTCATACTGTGGTGGCTTGCATGTTGCTGTGAGGCTGGAGGCTATGCCACCATAATATTCAAATACCATGGTGGATGGGTTTCAGCAAAACTTCCAGACTAAGACAGGGAAGAGGTCAGGACCATCCACTTCTGAAACAATTGGCCAATGAAAACCTTATGAATACCAGTGAAACACTGTCAACTATATTACTGGAAAATTTATGAAGAGCCATGAAACATTGTCTGATATAGTGCTGGAAGATGAGCCCCTCAAGTTGGAAGGCACTCAAAATACAACTAGGGAAGAGCTGTCTCCTCAAAGCAGAGTTAACCTTAATGATGTGGATGGAGTAAAGCTTTTGGAACCTTCATTTGCTGATGGGGCATGACTCAAAATGGGAAGAAACAGCTGCAAACATTCATTATAATTGGAATGTGGCATACACAGAGTATGAATCTAGGAAAATAGGAAGTTGTCAAAAATGAAATGGAATGCATAAAGATCGATGTCCTAAGCATTAGTGAGCTGAAATGGACTGGTATTGGCCATTCTGAATCAGACAAACATAAGGTCTACTATGCCAGGAATGACAAACTGAAGAAGAATGGCATCACATTCATCATCGAAAAGAATATTTCAAGATCTATCCTGAAGTACAATGCTGTCAGTAATAAGATAATATCTATATGTGTACAAGGAAGACCATTAATATGACTATTATTCAAATTTACATGCCAACCACCCAAACAAAAAATGAAGAAATTGAAAACTTTTACTAACTTCTACAGTCTGATGCAAAAATGAAATGAAGATGTATTGATAATTACTGATGATTGGAAAGCAAAAGATAGAAATAAAGAAGAAGCATCAGTAATTGGAAAATATGGCCTTGGTGATGAAATGATGCTGTAGATCGCATGACAGAATTTTGCAAGACCAATGACTTACTAATTGGAAATACCTTTTTTCAGCAACATATGGCAACTATACATATGGACCTAATCAGATGGAGTTCACAGGTATCAGATTGACTACATCTGTGAAAAGAGGTGATGGAGAAGCTCAATGTCATTAGTCAAAACAAGGCCAGGAGCTAACTGTAGAACAGACTATCAATTGCTTACATGGAAGTTCAAATGGAAGCTGAAGAAACTTCAAATAAGTCCATGAGAGCCAAAATATGACCTTGAATATATCCCACCTGAATTTAGAGACCATCTAAAGAATACATTTCACACACTGAACACCAATAATTGAAAACCAAATGAGTTGTGGGATGACACCAAGATCATCATACATGAAGAAAGCAAACAGTCATTAAAAAGACAGGAAAGAAGAAAAGACCAAAATGGATGTCAGAAGAGACTCTGAAACTTGTTCTTGAATGAAGAGAAGCTAAAGCAAAAGGAAGAAATGTTGAAATAAGAGCTGAACAGAAGATTTCAAAGGGCAGCTTGAGAAGACAAAGTAAAGCATTGTAATGAAAAGTACAAAGACCTGGAGTTAGAAAACCAAAAGGGAAGAAAACACTTGGCATTTCTCAAGCTGAAAGAACTTGGGGGAAAAAAAAAATCAAGCCTCGAGTTGAAATATGGAAGGATTCTATAAGCAAAATATTGAACTATGCAGGAAACATCAAAAGAAGATAGAAAGAATACGTAGAGTCACTAAATCAAAAAGAATTTGTCAATGTTCATCCATTTCAGGATGTAGCACATAATCAAGAAGTGATGGTACTGAAGAAAGAAGTCCAAGCTGCTCTGAAGGAATGGGAGAAAAATGACCTTCCAGGAATTGATGGAATACCCATTGAGATTTTTCAACAAATGGGTACAGCTCTGGAGATGTTTACTTATCTATGTCAGGAAATTTGGAAGATAGCTACCTGCCAACGGACTGGAAGAGATCCATACTTGTGCCCATTCCAAAGAAAGGTGATCCAATAGAACATTGAAATTATCGAAGAATATGCAAGCAAAATTTTGCTGAAGATTATTGAAAACACAGTTGCAGCAGTATAATGATAGGGAACTCCCAGAAATGCAAGCTGCATTCTGAATTGGACATAGAATGAAGGCTATCATTGCTGATATCAAATGGATCTTAGCTAAAAGCAAAGAATATCAGAAAGATGCTTACCTGTGTTTTAATGACTATGTAAAAGCATTTGACAGTGTGGATCATAACAAGTTATGGATAACATTGAGAAGAATGGGAATTCCAGAACACTTAATTATGCTCATGAGAAACCTCTGACCAATAGTCAATGGTTAAAACAGAATACTGTGTGCTTTAAGATTAGGAAGGGCCTGTGTCAGGGTTGCATCCTTTCTCCATACTTACTCAATCTGTATGCTGAGCAAATAATCTGAGAAACTGGTCTATATGAAGAACTTGGCATCAGGATTAGAAGAAGACTGATTAAGAATCTGTGATTTGCAGATGACACACTCTGCTTGCTGAAAGGGAAGAGGACTCAAAGTACTTATTGAAGAAGATCAAAGACTATAGTCTTCAGTATGGATTATACCACAGCATAAAGAAAACAAAAACCCTCACTAAATGGACCAATAAGCAACATCATGATAAACAGAGAAAAGACTGTAGTTGTCAAAGATATCATTTTACTTGGATCCATAATCAACACCCATGGAAGCAGCAGTCAAGAAATCAGATGTTGTATTGCACTGGAAAGATGTCATTTTGAAGACTAAGGCATGCCTAACTCAAGCCATGGTATTTTCAATCATTTCACATGCATGTGAAAGCTGGACAATGAATAAGGAAGACTGAAGAATTGATGCTGTTGAATTGTGGTGTTGGCCAAGAATAGTGAAAATACCATGGGCTGCCAGAAGAACGAACAAATTTGTCCCTGAAGAAGTGCACAAAGAATGCTCCTTGTTGTTGTTGTTGTTGTTACGTGCCATCAAGTTGGCCCGACTCATAGCGACCCCTCCTTGGGTTTCCGAGGTGGTATCACTATGGAAGTAGATTGCCCAACCTTCCTTCCGAGGAGTGGCTGGTGG